GGAGGGCGGGGGGGGGGACAGCTGCAGCTGGACCCACGTCCTGGTGAGCAAAAGAGGCAATGGGAGCTCTCATTTTCCATAATTAACCCAAAATCGCCCAAATTTATAGATATTTAGAATTTATTTAATTATAGTGATTGAGGCACTAGTAGGCTTCTAATTTGCTTTAAAATTGTAAATATGTCAATAAAATATTGTGTTCAACTGATACCTATGCATATAGTGGCATTTCATTTTAATCATAGAAAAACATGGATTTGGGGGTTTTGAATAAGAGAATTCACAAATTTATTTTCTTTAAATTGGAGAATTTGTGATTTTTGAACAGAGAAAACCAGGATCCCTGCTAATCAGCCTGGGCACAATGCCATGCAAATATGGTAGTACCATTTGCAGTTCAGAAGTAGCATGGGCAGAGCTAACTCAGATAGCTGTACACAAAGCATTGCCTTGTACTGTGCAGGCATACTCCCAGTTTTTTGCTGTAAAATCTTATTGTGCACTAGTTACCTCAGTGTCAAAAAGTCATTTTTGTTTCTCTAGGAAGGGAAAATCTCTGGGCACATGCACATGAAGAAGTTACTACAAGGTAAAGGAGGGCAGGGAATACAGTACATCAGCTATGCAAATAACCACACCATGTGCTTAATTTTGCATTACAGTAAATGAAAGATAATCCATGGGGTAACAGTACTCATGGGCAGTTACTTCAGAAAAACTGACACACTCTTACCCTGCCTGCTTTTAGCCATAATTAGCAAGTTGTTTAGCAATCACATGCTCAAGGGCTCATACCCAAGGCTTCCCTTACAAAAGTCAGTAACATTATAAAAAACAATGATATATGTAGTATGGGAATGTGCTCTGTTTTGGGTGCTTATGATATCATGTATTTCACAGAAGAGGAAACTTAAACTTACTACTTAACTGTCATCTCCATAGCAATATGTCTTTTTTAGTATAGAGGTGTAGGTTGTAACCCTGTTGGTCTAAGGACGTAGGCAGACAAAGATTCTTTGGGTAAATCTGATATCTTTTATTAGACCAACTCAGATAGTTGGAAAAATTCTTCTTAGCAAGCTTTTGGGTTTAAATACTTTTTATTGGGTTGAGAAAACATCTGCTTTTTTAGTATTTAATTTATGGTAAGTAAGACATGTTTTAACAGTAGACGGAATTGTTTGCCTTTGTATTTAGTACACCGACATCAATGATCTAAATCATTTCCTATATTATCTTTGTACATTAGTTTAATGTAGTGGTGCTTAAGCTTTCCAGTCCTGAAGATCAAATGAGTTTATAGATCAGGCCCTGCAGGGCTGGTCTGTGGGCTGGATCCTGCATGCCAGATCCAGCCTCATGCTGGCCTAACCCCGCACACCGGATCTGGCTGTAGAGTGACCCTACATGCTAGCCCAGCCGCATACCAGTGATCTAGCATGCAGGATCATGTCATTGGTGCTTCACACCGGGTCTAGCACTGCTTTCCACTGCCAAATTTCCAGAACATTAGGGAGTCCCCATAGGCCAGATGACAAGGCCCTGAGGGCTGGATCTGGTTCACAAGCCAGAGGTTGAGCACCACTGGTTTAATGGAACAAGCTCACTTTCAAGTCACAGCAATGCTGGTCCCTTTGTATATCCTGGTACTAGTCTGATTTAGTGAACTGTTGTTCTTTTTTATAGTTTAACTTTTGCATTTTCAAAAGTAAAAAAAATCTGTATTATCACATTTTAGATATTACATTAAAAGGAAGGAACAACTTTGAATATTACTGACCTCTGTCTTTTCCTTGCATTGCTGTTTACTTCATTTGCATAGGCCCATATGCTTCACACTAGGGCTGGTTAGTTATTGAATGAGAAATTGCCAAAATTCACAATGAATTTTATTCACAAAAAATCACTCAACCAGGTCTACTTAATGCTGTTTTGTTTGTTGACCTTTCTTTCTCCTCAGCAAAAATTATTCAAAATTAAATACTCTGATTTCGTAAACTCCCCTCTTGTATGCCTGCTCTAGTTCCCAAAGAGACTGTAATTTTAGCACTTACAAAAATTGTGTGGTTTACTTGCTAGACAAAATTCATTGATATCAAAACTTCTTAGTTTAAAAAAATGTTAGGAATTGTTCCCTTGTAGAAATGTTGTTGTTTTTTTAATATCAGTAAAATGTGGTGCACGGCTGAAAGAGCAAATTCTGACTAATTCTTTGGTAGCCTCCAAATTGAACACAGCAAGTAGAAAAGATATGTCCAGACTACAAAAAATGCCTATGTCTCTGCACACAAGCCTATTTTGCTTTAAACGCCTAGTCAATACTCCATTTTTTTTCAGTATAGACTCACTAGGCACGTCTACATGTGACCCTGACTGCGCATTTGGTACTGTGCAGTCATTTAGTGCAAGTACTAAATGACTGTGTAGTACCCACCACTAATACGCAGTCCTGGCGGTGTACAGTTATTTTAGATGCTACGTTGCCATAGCAATAAGCTATGGTGACGTAGTGTCAGCTTCACAGTTTGTGCCTGCTGATATTACGTCACTGTAATGACAAGCTTCGTCGACATAGCTCATCACTACAGTCTCATGTAGACGCACCCACTGTGTTATTTCTTTTTCGGGAAGACAACTATAGACATTAAAATATTATTGTTTCTTAAGACATAAAAAAAAAACCCTTTAGGCCTGAATACCCATGTATAATCAATATTGTTGCGACATGAGTTGAGCAGTTGAGATTTTGCAGTCTGTTCTAGTCCTCAACCACCCACCAGAAGGTTCTATATTAGGTTATATACCCAGGTTATATGTTAGGAAGAACTTTCTAACTGTGACACTGGGGGTGTGTCTACACATGCACCGGACAGTTGCGCCCAACTGCGTAAATGCCTGCATAGTAACCACTGGTACTCAGCAGTCCTGGCGCTGCTCAGGTCGTTTCTGACCCTACTGCACAATAGCAATGAGCCACTGTGCAGTAGCTCATTGCTATTGCACAGAAACAGCGGCATCGTGGTTCATGCCCACCGATACTACATCACCATAGCGATGAGCTACGTTTCTGTAGCCTGTCTTGTGTAGACATACCCTGGTTAAACAATCAAAGCGATTACCTAAATGGTTCTCAACCTTTTTTAGATTCAAGGCACTCCTCAGAAAATGCCAGCTCTTTGTTTTCACTCAGTCTTTGACTACAGAAAAATAGAACTATTTTTCTGTTGTAAAAACTCCAAAGACCACAAAAGGTTAGAAAGGGGTTTTCGTTTTTTAAGGGTTTTTTTAACAATATTAATTCCTGTTTGAAATCTCTGAGTTTGTCTAATGAAACATGTTTGCACACCTGACAATGCTAACATGGCATGGTACCTGCAGAACCTTTGAAAGGATTTAAAAGTACCCTGGCTGAAGATCAGTGGGTTAAACATACATTTGTCTGATTTGGCTTAGACAAAGATGTTCCTGCATTGATCAGGGGTTTTTGATTTAAATGACATCCTAAGATCCCTTTCAACCCCACATTTCTATGATTCTATATTTCTACAATTTTATATTCATTTGAAAATAAGGGCCTTTTTATACTGTGTGTATGAATATGTACTCCTGTTAGCAACAGAACAAAGAATCTAACAGCCAGTGAATTAGGATCACAAGCTGAGATTGGGTGCCTAATATTAGGCAAGCAAGGTTGAAAATTTTGACCATAATTCATTAAATATGTTTTTAAAAAGGAAAGTTAGAGATTAGATGCTGAAAGCTAAAATAATGAATTTTTCAAAATTATTTTCACAGAATGAACAAAGAGAAGTCATCAGTAAATTTCGTGCTGGAAATATAAACCTACTTATTGCTACTACTGTGGCTGAGGAAGGTCTGGATATCAAAGAATGTAACATTGTTATCCGCTATGGTCTCGTCACCAATGAAATTGCTATGGTGCAGGTATGTCAGTATGCCATATGGGTCTTTCTTTATTATTATGGTTTACATATTTGGATATATTTTTAATAAGGCCGATAATTTTTATGGTGGCATGTGAAAGCCAACACACCCTTCCTCTGTTAGAGGGAGGATGAGAGGGTTACTGTGGAGCAATACATTCATCGACAGCTCTATTTTCAGAGCACAGTTTAATAGCAATAGCGAATTACATGAATGGGATTTGGAGGAAACCTTGGAAGCCTTGGACATGAGTGAGGAAGGTGGTTAGAGATACTGTATTTAGCACGAATACCAAGACCACTTCCATGATTCATCTTCTGTCTGTTTACAGTGTAAGATTCACTTAGGTGCAGAGTAGCTACCCAGAGCGCTTCAGAATTAAGCTCTATAGTGTCCCTTTGAAAAGGGTGTGAGAGGATGAGTACAGCAATGTGCCTCTACACCCCTTTAGGCAATGTTGAAGAGAGGGCCTCAGAGGAGTGTTCCTACCCTTTGTATTAATGTCATGAGATCTTTTCTCTTGTACTCATTTGTGTTCCCACAAAGAAGAATAACAGACTTTTCTTTAGAACAGCATCCAAATAATCCATTACTTACTTATTTCCTCTTACGGCTGGAGCTTCTAGGTACAGTTATGTTAACCAACGTACAAATACATAGCAAAAGAAATATGGCCTAGAAGAGCGTTTACTGTCTAATTATGCAGAATCTGAAGGTGTTTGTTATTGTCGTCATCAGCAATCCCTCATAGTCAGGGGTGATTGTCTTCCATTATTGCCTTATCTGTGGTCTGAAGATGGCTGTTAAGGCCAATCCAGGGTCAGTCCAAGTTCCACTGCAACTCGGACATGTGTTTCTGTGTGGGGTGGGTGGCTCTGGATTCTTGATTTGGTCCACAACACACTGTTTCTGCCACTTCTGCTTTTCCATCTCCTGTTGTCATCATGAGGTTACAAAGTACCTCACTGAGATCCTAGCAGCAAACTCTTCCTCTCTTTGGGGTGGTCCTGCATGCTAGTTTCCCACAACATATCAATGTTTCATTTTTTCAAGTTGGCCTTGAGGATGTCCTTGAAACACTTTCTCCACCCTCCTCTTGAGCATACACCTTGACTGAGCTGGGAAAATAAAACTGCTTCTGGAGTTGGACATCCAAATGATGTGTCCAGCCTAACAAAGTTGATGTTGGATGATCATCGTTTTGATGCTTGTGGTGTTGGCTTGCGAGAGGATGCTAATGTTGGTGCATCTAACTTCCCACTGGATTTGAAGGATCTTCTGCAGGCAGCATTGATGGTGCTTTTCCAGCAACTTCAGGTGTCTCCTGTGTGCTGTCCGTGTCTTAGCTCCATACAGTAAAGTAGGGATCACAACTGCTTGATAAACCATGAGCTTGGTTTCAAATCTGATGTCACAATCTTCAAATGTACGTCCTCAGGCATCTGAAGGCTGCACTTGCACATTTGAGGTGATGTTGTATTTCTTCATCCATATCAGCCTTCTGCGAGAAATGGCTTCTGAGGGATGGGAAATACTCAACATTCTCCACAGTCTCATCATGAATCTGAATGACCAGAGCTGGGGACTGCTCAGAGCTTGTTGACGGAGGACCTGAATGTTAAATATCAGTCCCATTTTCTTGCATGCCTTAATAAAGACAATGATTGAAGATCTACTTTTAAGCAAGCACACACTACAGTATCATCAGTTTACTGGAGCTCAATGATTGAGGCCCAGGTAGTCTTGGTTTTGGCTCAGAGTTTGGTGAGATTAAACAGTTTACCATCCATTCAGTAGTTTAGCTCCATTCCTACTGGAAACTTGTTGGTGATCAGAGGTAGCATCATGGTAACGAATATTGAGAAGTTTTGGAGCAATGACGCAGCCTTGCTTAACTCCTGTCTTAACCTCAAAGGGATCTGTGATAGATTTATTACTGAGAACCACTGCTCAGATGCTGTCATGGAGCAGGCAAAGAATGGTGAAAAATTTTGCTGGGCACCCATACTACAGAAGGATCCCACATAGAAAGGAATATTTGCATACAAAAATAAATTTATCTATGTTATACTTTATTTATAGTGGATCACAAACTCAATATGAGTCTGCAGTGTGACACAGCTGCAAAAAGGTGAATGCAGTTTTGGGCTGCATCAATAGGGACTGGATAAATACATGGATGGTAGATCTATTAATGGGTTTTGAACAGAAGGGCTATAAGTGTTTCCTCTGACATATCTAAACCAATGAATGGTGAATGCCAAGGAGGGTATTGATGAGTAGATAAATCACTCTTCAGGGAGAGTATTGAACCGTATATCTCTATAATATTCACTTCTGCCACTGTCTGAAAAAGGATAGTAGGCTAGAAGGACCATTGGTCTGACCCAGTACAGCACTTACATTCTTATGTAATAGGAGTATTAGATGCAAGACATGGAAGGTGATAGTGCCTCTTTACTCCTCACTGGTTAGGCTTCATCTAGAATATTGTGTGAAATTTTGGTCTTCACATTTTAAAAAGGACATGGAGAAGTTAGGGTCCAGAGGAAGGCAACAACAATGGTAAAGGGTTTGGAAGGCAAGCCATACAAGGAGAAGTTGAAGGATGCTCAGCTTGTGGAAAAGGCACTTAAGAGGAGAAATGATAGCAGGCTTCAAATATCTAAAAGGCTGCCATGAAGGACTCTCCCTTGCTACAGAGAACAGGGTACAGACCAATAGCTTGAATTTGCAGCAAAGTAGGTTAAGATTGAATATCAGGATAAACTTCTTCACTGTTAGAACAACGAGGCAGTAAACTTAGGGAAGTTTGAAATCTCCATCATTGGAGGTGTTCAAGAAGAAGCTGGCTGAGCGTTGGTCAGGGAAGATCTAGGCGTAGCTATGCCTGTGCTCTACAATAAGTATTTCCAATGCTTCTGGGCTTTGTTGGTTGCCACAAGGGTCCAGGAAGAAATACTTGTCACCTTCTGTTGCTATACGTTTTCCATCTTGCTCAGAATCATTGGGTGTTGGCGGCAGGTAAGGCTGGGGATTTTGACTGGCTTGTACCAGTGCTCCTATTTGGACTAAACCCTGGAGGTTCCTGGCTAGAGGGTCTTGCCTCTCTGCTCAGGGTCAGACCAATTGCCACATTCGGGATCAGGAAGGATGTTACCATATGGTCAGACTGGTAGGAACTGTCGGGGGTTTTGCCTTCCCCGGGAGGGTGGGGAGTGGGGACATGGCCCTTTTTCCTTGGAACTCTTGAGCATATTTTAACAACACTGGAAGCAGCAGAGCACCTGCCACTATTGTCCTCCTGCTTAGAATCATAGAAATTGGGTTGGAAGGGACCTCAGGAGGACATCTAATCCAACCCCGTGCTCAAGGCAGGACCAGCCCCAACTATATCTTGCCAGCCAAGGCTTTGTCTAGCCAGAAAACCTGCTTTGCTTGTGGCAGGTTAGGCTGCTATGACTTATGGTTGCATGACAGGGTGGACTGTAGTTTTAGTAATAGGTTAGAAAAAGATTTATAGGGAAAGGTTTGGATAGTGATAATCCTGCTTTGAGGAGGGAATTGGACTAGAGGACTTGTAGAGGTCTCTTCTGTCTTACTCATCTATGATTTTATGTGATCTGTGAGTGCAAGAATATTGTTGAAGACACAATATGGGTTTTAAGTTTCAAAGATTTATTTCATGGTTCAAAAATCCTTTTAGCAGCATAATGTGTATTGACACCGCCTCTTATTTTTAATAGTACTGCAGAGGCAGCATAGGGCATTGGAATGTTTCTTAAACAAGAACACTTAATTAAAGCAATGCTTCACTGGGATGCTTCACGTAAGGAACATGGAATACCTTTTGTTACAGAAAATGTATGCAATAATGCCACAGATGGCTCTGCAGTATTTATGATCCCATTTATCTTGAAAACTGCAGGCTCGTGGACGAGCCCGAGCTGATGAGAGTACCTACGTACTGGTGGCATCAGGTGGATCAGGAGCTGCTGAACGTGAAAATGTCAATATATTTCGTGAGCAAATGATGTATAAAGCCATCCAACGTGTCCAAAGGATGCCACAGGAGGAGTATGTAAACAAGGTATGGTTTCTGACTCATCCTTTGCCCTGTAAGTAGGAACAGATCTCTGTTACATACTTGAATCCTAAAAGGAACAGTGAAACTTTCTTTTTTAAAGGAGTTAAAAATGTCATTGCGTACCCTATTTGGCTTTGAAACCTTCTGCCAATATTTACTGTTTAATTGCCACTTTTCTGTGTTCTTTTTATTTAAACCCTTTCTCTACCCAGTTGATATAGGAAAACTCTACACAAAGACTAATTAGACAGAATGTCATCAAATGAAAAAAGCAAAGTAACTGAAAAACTAGAGAAAAGCATTTTTCCTCTAATCATCTGTTACAATCCATTTAGGACAATGGCACCCAGTCCTTTGGTCCCAGGGGCCAAAGGTCCTCCAATCTGTGGTGTAGGATCAGTTAATGAGCCAGATACTGTGTTAGGTCAGTCCATGGGTGCAAAACTGTGTGACCAGGTCCAGCTGTACACCAACCCAACCCTGTGCACCTGGGTCCCGCCACATGCTGGCATGCAGGGCCACATTATCTAGCCTACAGGGCTCTCTGGACTTTGACAGCTCATGAACAATAATTAACACTGCCACTGTTCCCTTGCCACCAAATTTCCAGACCTCTGGGGAGCCCCATGGACTGAATGACACTACTCCACAGACTGGATCTGCCTGTGGGCCAGGGGTTGAGCACTCTTGGTTTGGGAGATTCATGTAATAATTCAGACACACCGTTAAAAAAATATGATTTATAATTTGACTGTGTCCCTTTAATAGTGTCAGTTTCCAGAATCTATTTTCCATGTACATATCTGAGGTTTTGGAAGTAAACTTGGCAATAAATCTTTTTTCTACTGAAGCTACAGCAGAAGATTCATAAATAGGACAATGTTCTTATCCTTCTATTTCTAGATTCAGGGGTTTCAGATGCAAAGTATATTGGAAATAAAAACGAAGGCAAAGAGAGAGCAGCGTAAGAAATACAAGGAAAATCCATCATTAATAACATTCCTTTGCAAAAACTGTGGCAAGCTAGTATGTTCTGGAGAAGACATACAAATTATTGAAAGCATGCATCATGTCAATGTTAAAAAGGAGTTCCAGTAAGTATTACTAAACTACATATTCTCATTTAGGTAGAAACCTGTTGGTATGAAGGCAGAGCAGCACTCTGGGCATTGCATAATAACAAAAAGTGGTAATATCATGAAAAAAAGTAGGGTATGACCCAAATTCTGCTATTGGCAAGTAAGAGAAGTTTCAGTACCTTTTCAGTTACATGTGGCTTACGTTTTTTTGCTGCTGAGATGCTGGTGGGGCAGGACCATACTGAGCTCTGATTTGGGGCCAACCAGGGGATGAAATATCAAGGAGTGCAAAAGATAGGTTCCACAAACAGAGCTAACTAGGCTACCTTGCTCACGCTGGATGTATTTAACAATGCTGTCAGTAATCAAGTGCCGTAAGTTGAAGACAACATGAATCTCAGGGTCCTCTGCATACAGACCTGTATACTGTTTAGACTTTTCTTAAACATTTAGCACTGGACACCCACAAGTGCTACGCTATGAGCAGGCCATCTGTACTGCACTTTGTTCATACTGTAATTGAGAGATTATTAAAAATGTTTTATTTTAACTTCACAAAATAAATTGTAATTGTTTCTAACAAAGGGACAGTTATATATCAAACTTCACCCCACACTACAATCTCCTTCTAAAGTCACCTTTGTTTGAGATATATCATTTTTAGTTTCCGTTGCAAGAAGGTTTGGGGAAAGTTAATGAGGAAATGGTGCTTATGGGCACCATTTCTCCCAGAGCTCCGTGATATGCAGAGGAAGTATTCTAGCTGCATCATTATTTATAAGTGTGCAGAATGGTCCCCCTTAAAGGTGATGAGCCTTGGCCATGGTAGAGGGAGACAGTGAGCCATATCTTTTCTGCTTCTTAAGAGCTACCAGAGGGTAGACCCTGCACTCAGGGGAGCACACAGCACGCAGTTTGTAATATCTTGTCCTTGCAGAGTGGTGACAAAGTGTCCTTGCATTCTCTCCTACTCTTGCATTTGTCCAAAGGTCAGACATAGTTTATGGCAGTAGTTCTGCTACCGTGCTTGCAGACTAGATTTTTCTTTAGGAGTTGTACTCTCAGAATATACTATTTAAGGCCACCTCTTTGAGAGAGAATAACCCCATCTAATTCATATTTCATGTCCATTTTCAGGGACCTTTATTATACAAGAGAAAATCGAACACTGCGAGAAAAACATGCTGATTACCAAACAAATGGTGAAATTATCTGCAAACATTGTGGACAAGTAAGTGTGTGTTTCCTCATTCTCTGTAGTGCCAAAAGGTATCTGTCTAATTATTTTTGCTAATAGATGCTTTTCTTCAATTTTTCAGGCTTGGGGAAATATGATGGTGCACCGAGGGCTTGACCTTCCTTGCTTGAAAATCAAAAATCTCGTGGTCCGATACAAAGATAAAAAAACCTCAAATCAACTTTACAAGAAATGGGGAGAGCTGCCAATCAGCTTCCCTGATTTTGACTATGCAGACCACTTTGTTTCCAGCGATGAAGACTAAGGATTTGTTCACAAATGTACACAAAAGTTTAATTTTAACCTGAAGCATTTTTACTGCTGTGATCACAGGCTCCTGGTTTGTTTATTTTTTCAGGAAAAGCTCCTGTCTTCTATCTTTTACTGTAAACTCCCAAGTGCAGTAAAACTGAGACATCACTTGGGGAGAAGGAAAGTTGTTTGTGCTTTTGTGGCGGCTTGGAATAAGAAAAGGAAAGCCTTAGTAGATCCAGGCAGACAAGGTTCCTTGGGTGAATTTGATATCTTTTATTAGACCAACCCAAATGGTTGGAGAATAGTTATTAAGCAAGGTTTCGGGTTCAAAAACCCTTCGTCAGGCTAAGGAAGCTTCAGCAGTTGGTGTGTGCTCTTCCTGGATGGAATGAAAAGTCCAGGCTTTTGTGAAGTCAGGGGACAAACCTTCCTTCCCTATATAGCAGAATCCAGCGAATGAATGAAAAAATTTTCATTGATTGGATTTTTTTCCGTCATTGCAACAATGCATTTAATGAGTGGTATTTGCCATCTAAGATAATTAACAAATATTTGGGGGGATTTTAACTCGGGAAATACTTGTTAAAGGTCATTGTTAGATCAGACATGCATTTGAAACTGAGGTTGGGAGTTAGTTGTTGGTAACAAAGAGGCAGAAGTAGAGCATATATGATATGCAGTCAATCTTTCAGTGCAGGAATTGGTGAGGGCTGCTGATTCCCAGCAGTGATCTAAGCCAATGGTCAGATCCGGCCTGCAGAGCCATTGGATCCAACCTGTGGCCTATGAGTTCAGCAGTGGGATATTTTGCCTGCACTGCACTGTACTTGGGCTGTGGGGCTTTGCCCATGCCACAATTGGGTGGCAGGAAGCAGTGGTGGCAGCAGCAGCAGCTGAATTCTAGTGCCAGCCCTTGGACCCAAGCTGAGTTGTTCCAGTCCACCATGGCAAAAAAGGTTGCTGACCACTGATCTAAGCTATTTTCCTCCCTTCCTTTCCCCATGTTAACACTGTCTCTCAGTAACATAAGTAATGTGAGGGGGTATATTTTAACTCAGCGTTTCCCCTGAAATGGCTGTCATTTGGACACTGGTTCTGTTTTGTGCTTCTCCTCTTATACCATTAAGGGGTGACTCCCACATTTGTTACAAAGTCAGACTAAATTTAAACTACTATACAAAATATTTTAAGAAGTCCATGTACTTAAACCTTAAGTAACAGTAGCAAATAGAATTTTCCATTTGTAGTGTCATACAAAGATTTTGTAAAATGGTGAAGATGCATTAAAGTATGCTTCTTTAATAAATGGCTATAACTCTTTTGTTTGCCACCATTATTACACATTCATATACAATAATCATTTTAATAGTTTAAACTTCTCTTCGTGACTTCTCATTTAAACAACTGACAAATTTTTATTGACTTCAGTAGGATCAAGATTTCACCTACACTTCAAAACAATGTGCTGCTGTAATTTACAGCAGGGTTTGAAGTTTACCTTTCAAAACTTTTTTAAAAAGTGCAGCTCTGAGAGGTAACTACAAATGGCATCATGCACTTCCATATTTATCTTACATACAGAATAATTTGCTCAGTTTACAAGTAAAATATTTGAGGTTTGGGGGTTGTTTATCTGTTAGCCTTGTAACTTCAAACTAGAATCTGCAAAATCAGTTGCTGGTAATTGGAGCACAAGGGAGATATGTAAAAATACAGTGGAGGTGCAATTGTAGTGTACACTTTTCTGCAACTGCAGGTAAATATTCTGTAGTTGGAACAGAGATAAGTTCTTTTATTATGCTCAAGTCAGAAAAATGTCCAGCGCATTCTTTCATAGCCACACCAGATTATAGTTAATACGAGTAAAGGTATTATAAATAGTTCGCATTATTAGAGGATCAGAGTTGACTCATTGCATACAGCAGATCTGCTGACTTAGAGGATAGCATTTTTATATAATTACTTTTGACCACAGTTTAGGTATATTTCATTACATTGCTATATCAAAAAACAAGTAAAAGACTGGATCACAGAAACCAACAAACTTCTATAGAACACTGCTAAATTTTAATTTACATTTGTCAGTCTCTGCATCCTGATAAGCTCATCTGTGGTCCACCTAGTTTTTCTTGAATTTATACTATAGCCATTCAGGTAAATTATGCAAAAACTCTACTAAAGTTCTTGAGGCCTATTTTTCAGTTTCTTTATTTTTAAATGAGTAAAGGTCTTCTAAAAGATTTTTATGCTTATGCTGATAGGTATGTTTTCTTCTATTGGAATACTATAGATCTGGTGTTGGCAACCTATGACTCACAGGCTCAGAGGTGCCCTGTTAAGAGATTTCATCTGGCCTGTCAAGCATGGCTTGTTTATTCATAGATTCATAGACATTAGGGCTGGAAGGGACCTTGGAAGATCATTGAGTCCAGCCCCCTGTCCCAGGGGCAGGAAGTCAGCAGGGATCATAGGATCCCAGCAAGATAAACATCCAAATGTCTCTTGAAGGCGTTCAAAGTAGGTGCTTGACCCGCCTCTGGTGACAGTCTATTCCAGACCTTGGGGGCTCAGACAGTAAAGAAGTTCTTCCTTATGTCCAGCCTGAAACAGTCATGGAGGAGTTTGTGACCATTCAACCTTGTCATCCCTTGGGGCACTCTGGTTCTTCACAGGATGGGGAGGGTTGGCATTTCCTTATGAGACTTCACATATGAAAGGCCAGGTGTATTTTCATTGTCCTGGGGAGCCCTAATTTGTAGGTGACTGGGTTGATCTTTACAATGATTGGGAAGGTGCCCAAGTATCAGTAGTCCAGTCTGGTGGAGGGACACACAGATTGCAGTTTGTGGGTAGATAGCCAAACCTTCCTCCTTCCCACTGAGAAGACTGGTGCTTCTTGACAGTTCTTACCTGAGAATCTCATAAATCTCCTTGGCAGCCTCCAGATGCTCCTTTAATTCTTTCTAAACCAGGCAGATGTGATTGACCAGATCAGCTGTGGTCGGTGTGCAAGAGGTCTGGGAGAGCAATGGGTGAAAACAGGAGTGGAAACTATAATAAAAAAAGGAAAAAAAATAAAGCGATTGATCAGTGGATGTGTGTTCAGAATTATTATATGCAAAATCTGCTAGCGGGAATAAGGAGACCCAATTGTCTTGGCAATAGTTCAAAAAGTATCGGAGATATTGTTCAAGTGTATGATCAATCCATTCTGTTTGACCCTTAGTTTGTGGGTGATTCACAGATGAGGCAAGAGGTTTGATTTGTAAGTGCTCTTTCCAGAAGTGGTAAAAGAATTGTGGGCTGTGGTCCAAGATGGTACTCCTGGAAATACCATGCAGCTGAAGGACATTTTCTATGAATAGTTGAGCTGTCTCTGGAGCAGTGGTGGTCTGGGAACAGGGAATGAAATGGGCCATCTTGCTGAGCAGGTCTCCTATCACCAGAATGCTTGAGTGTCCTAGAGCAGGAGGTAGATCGGTACTAAAAAAAAAACAGTGAACAACACACAATGTTGTATGTCAGGACTGGCTTGGCAGTGGTAGTGGTTGAAGGAGTCCTAGCAGTTTGATGCATGGGTCTTGGTGTGAGTGCAAACCTTGCAGGAGTCAATGTATTTCTAAATATGCTGACAAAGTTGGGGACACCAGAAACTGTGGAGGACCAGGCTAGTACTTTTGGTAATACCAAAATGCCTGCAAGCAGAGTCATGGCACCTTTTGGAAGAGCTGGAGTTCCCCTTCCAGGATATACCAGCATTGCTTGTGCCAAAGGAGCCCATCATGAAGCTGAACATCTGATCAGGTGGATGTTCCAGGTCCTTAAGTCCCACTGAACCTTGAAAATGAATGAGTCCTAGAGAAATCAAGGAGCAGAGACATTAAGTCCTTGTTTACCATGGCCCTAACAAATTTCTTGGGGCTCAGAATGATGGAATAGGTTTCAGGACAGAGTTCTAAATATTCATCCTTTTGAGACAGGATGTCAGCCTTACCGTTTTTGGTGCTACAATGGCAGGTGACTGTGAAATTGAATTATGTAAATAACAGAGAACAACAGATCTATCTTTGGTTTTGATTTTGGGCAGTTTGCAGATATTCAAGATTTTTGTGGTCAGTTAATACTTGGACTGGAAACTGAGCCCCTTCTAGGTGGTGTCACCATTCTTTGAATGCTGCTTTGCCAGGAGCTACCAATCCAAGATATTATAAGTGTGCTTAACGAGGTTCAGCTTCCTAAAGAAGAAAGTGCACAGTTGGCACTTGGCTGGCCAAGATAGCTCTGATGGCACAGCTGGAGGCATCCATCTCCACCAAGAACAGCCGTGCCAGGTCTGGGTGTGTTAGGATAGGGGCCAAGGCTAGTTTAAGTCCTTCAGAGACAGGCTGGGCCTCTGGGGCTTAGGCAAAGCACATTCCTTTCTTCAGAAGGGCAGTGATTGGGGCCACCTATTTAGAGAATCCCTTGCTAGAAGGGGTTCCTCCTATAGAAGTTGACAGAATCAAGGAACCACAGATTGCTTAGGGGGTGACCGCTCTAATATGGCAGAAAAAAAACTTCCTTGGATCCATGGGTAGCCCCTTTAGTATAACTATATACCCTAGAAACTCAATGGATGTTTTGTCAAATTCACACTTTTCTATTTTGGTGTATAGACCATAGCTCCTCAGTTGCTCCAGTATCACTCAAACGTGTTGTTCATGCTAGCCAGGGCAAAAATGTTGTCCAGGTAAACTACTATGAACGAGTCCAGGATGTTCTTGAAAACATCATTCAGGATATGCTGAAAGATTTCCAGTTCATTAGAAAGCCTAAAGTGCATCGCGAGGTACTCAGAATGACCAGATTGTGATCAGAAGGCAGTTTTCCGTTCATTGCCTTCATGGATGCAAAAGAGGTTGTAGGCCCCTCAGAGGTCCAGTTTAGTTAATAGCTTAGCTGATTGGTGCCTAACCCACTTCCGTTGATTCAAGAGTTGTTTCAGTGATGGATGGTCATTTTCTTCAGCGCTCCACAGCCCTCTCGGGCACAAAGATCCATCCTTCTGGGTCACAAATAAAAATGGGAACCCCAGCTGGTCATGTGGAGGGTGAATAAACCCTCTTTGCAGATTCTTTGTGAGGTACTCTTTGAAAGTCCTGAGTTCAGGCTCAGAGGAAGCATATTTGACAGGACAGTATCTGTGCTCCTGGTAAGATGTTGGGGCAATAGTAGAGATGATGAGAAGGAAACTGGTCTTCCCTCTTATCAAATATCAGTTCTTGGTACTTGGCAGGGATAGATACGCCACTGACTGGCAGACTGGCAACCTCTGAAGTTGCAGGTTTTGTTCTCCCTGAGAATGTCATCATGTGCTCTACTGCATTGGCTCCACTCATGACCTGGGATCTCTCCTGGAAACATGTCTGGCTGCAGTAAGTAGAACCAAATCGGAGTTCCCTCTGCTCCCACAAAATATCAAGGTTGTGGACGAAAAGCCAATGGGTACCCAAGATGCCAAAACAGAGAAGCTCCTAGTACCCTCTAATCCACATGTCCAGTGGGACCATTTCCATAGCAACAAGTCCGGAAGAGAAAATAGGTCCATCTACTGACTCCACTGTTTCTGGGGTGCTTTTTGACCTGACCAAAATCTGGTGCTGGGATGCAAATACTTAGTTCATAACATTCCCAGAGACCCCTGTATCCAGAAGGGCTTGTTACCTTTCAGCTCCATGTTCTTGGGGAACCCTGGCACAGGACGCAGCCTGTCTGACTCACAAAGAACTCTCGCCATCCCCACCTCGACCTGAACAAGAACTGATTAGAGGAAGGACTTACAAAAGACAATGAAGATGCAGTGGGAGACACACCTAAAGCCCTGCAGACAAGGGTGACAAGAGTGAAGCAATTCCCCATGTCTCATTTGCATCTGAGATGGAACCGGATGACAACTCATTTAAATGGGAGATGGGACAGGCAAGCACCTTCATTAGCATTCAGGATGGAGAACAGAGATTCCAAGGCAAGGACCTCACTGAATTCTGGGATCAGAGAAGCAGGGGAGCACTGCATGATAGGGAATCCTTGCTCCAAATGCTAATCAACCCACATCTACACACACCCAGCTCAGCATTTATCAGACCAATTCTAGTATGACTCCTTTATTAGTATCCAAAAGGCTGAATCTTTCTGTCTGTGTTGTGAACTCCCTCAGAGTAATGTCACCTATAGCCAGCAGTGATCAGTTCCTATTATCCAGCATATGAACCATTGTTTACCCCTAAACAAATGTAGTCTTCTCCCTTGAGCCATTGTTAGTT